GGTGTGACCGATTACACAAACTCGGTGGGACCGATTTTGGTAATAAGCTAACCAGAGAGTTGGTCAGGTAAACTCGGTGGGACCAATTCGCTCATCGCGGTGAGACCAAAGTGTTACAAAAGGGAAACAGAGAGTTTACATTGCAATCTCGGTGGGACCGATCGCTCATCTCGGTAAGACCGAAACGTTACGAAGGGAAACAGAGAGATTACAATCCCATCTCGGTGAGACCGAGATCCCTATCGGTGAGACCGATTTGCCTAGGGTTTGTGGCAGTGGCTATGACATTTGAAACTCGGTGGCGCCGGATAGAAAGAATCGGTGGGGCCGAGTTTGACTTTTGGTTTAGGTCATATGTGGATGTGGGAAGGTAGTTGAGGGTTTTGGAGCATATCACTAAGCACTTTGAGCAAGCAAGCCATTAAGCAACACCTCATCCCTCCTTGATAGTATTGGCTTTTCCTATAGACTCAATGTGATCTTGGATCACTAAAATATAAAATGTAGAGTCTTGAGCTTCAAGCTTGAGCCAAACTTTTTGTCCTTAGAATTTTGAGGGATCCACTTTCCTTATCCATGCCATGCCATTCATTGAGCTTTTCCTGAAATATTAATCTTGGAATAATGTTAGCTTCATGAGCTATATGTTGTTAGGAATTACCAAAACCACCCAGGATAGTTGCACTTTCACACATATTTTTCCCAATGCAGTGTGCTATAAAATTTGAGGCATGTCTACATCAGAGGGTTCGGAGAGTGCTGATTCCATGGGTGAGGTACAAGTCAAGTACCACATGCTAGAAGGTCCAAGGTATGGGAGCATTATGAAGTAGATCTGGTTCTCGTAGATGGTGATCTCAAGGATGTGTGCAAATACTGTGGAGTGCAACTTCACACCAAGTTTGGGACAAGCAGTTTGAGGACCCATATTGCAGAGGCTTGCCGATCAATTCAGGATGCTTGCAGGAAGAGGTTTTTGTTGACCATGAAAAAAACATCTGAAGGTCTGTTTGTGTTTGATGAAAAAGTTTGTCGTGAACGCATGGTCAAGTATTGCGTCCATGCTGAGATCCCCTTTCTTAAGTTTGAAGATCCCCACCTTCAGCCATGGATTGACTCAATGCAGCCAGCGTTTCAAATCAAGGGTCGTCACACAATTTGTGATGATGCAGTGAAGATGTATAAGGGAATGAAGAAAGATATCGAAGTAGAGCTACAAAATTTGGATTCTCGCATTTGCTTAACATCTGACATGTGGACATCATCACAGGACTTGGGATACATGTGCATCACCGCCCATTATATCGATGCAGAATTCAACTACAAGAAGAAGACCATAAGTTTCGCAGAAGTGAAGTATCCCCACACATGCTATGCGATAGAGGAAGAAATAGTTCGTTGCTTAACAGAATGGGGCATAAGAGGAAAATTATTCACTTTGACACTAGATAATGCCAGCAATAATACTAATGCATGTGAGGAGTTAATAAAATATCACAAACATGAGCTGCTCCTTGAAGGTCAACATTTGCATGTCAGGTGTTGTGCGCACATTCTTAATATCTTGGTTCAGGATGGAATGAAAATAATCCATGAAGCTATTGACATGATACGTGAGCTGGTGAAGTATATTGACTCTTCTCCTTCAAGACTTCAAGATTTCAATACAATTGCAAGTGGGATGGGTCTACGTGCAAAGAAAGGCATCTCTGTTGATACACCAACCAGATGGAACTCAACCTGGAAAATACTTGTAGAAGCATTGACGTACAAATCTGTTCTCACTAGTTATGCCAACAGAAAGATGATAGATTCTCCAAGTGAGGAGGAATGGGAGAAGGCAAAAGCTATTTGTGAGTTTCTAAAAGCTTTTGAAGAGCTTACTTTGATCGTTTCAGCTCATAGGAAGCCAACTTCACATAAGTTTCTGCCAGTTGTGCTTTCTATTCGCCATGCATTGAAAGATCCGGGTTGGCAGACCTCTGATGTGTTGAAGGAATTGGCGGCAGTGATGCAAACGAAGCTTGATAAATATTGGGATCCCGAGGAGAAGGAGAATGCAGATCCTAACCGTCGTAGAAAAAGCAAGGGCATTGAGTTTAACCATGCACTTGTCAATGCTACATTCCTGGATCCAAGGAGGAAAGAAGATTACTTGGATTTCTTCTATTGCAAGTTGTCTACCGACGGGGAGCAAATTACAAAACAAGTGGAGATTGCTTTAGAATGGGTGAGAAAGTATGTCAAGGAATATGAGCTACTTGCAGCAACAAGCACTGCACACTCGACACCTTCTAGTCAAGGCAATACCATTATTGGATCACCTGTTGCAGGGAAAAGGAAGTTGGAAGAAGAGTTTGCCCAGCAGAAGTCTTGTCGGAGGTCACGTGTACACAAATCTGAGCTTGATGCATACTTGGAAGAAGCATCCGAGAAGGTCGGTGATGACTTTGATGTCTTGGGTTGGTGGAAGAGGCATGGCGAAAAGTTTCCTATATTGGCATTTGTGGCCCGTGACTTTCTTGCAATTCCTTTGAGCATAGTGGCATCTGAATCAGCCTTCAGTTGTGGTAAGAGGATACTAGGCGACAAGAGAAGCTCTTTGAACCCTGATATGCTAGAAGTGCTTGTTTGTGCTAAAGATTGGTTGTTCAAACCAAAGGAGGGTGAGTTAACCGCTTACATTTTGGTTCTACTACTTGTGTAGAATGGGATATATAAAGCCTACAGTATAGAAGTAATATAGAAGTGTTGATATGCCTTTAAATTAATATTTTGTTTTATTTGCAGGAGATGGACAGTAAGGACGCGGCTAAAAGTTTGGAACCAATGAAAGGTAAAAATATAGTCCTGTATATACATATGCAATGGCTAGTGAAGTTTTGAAGTTGGTGGCCAAGTTGGCTCTTTAGAACATCCTGATCATCAATAAAATACTAGAATGCACAAGTTGACATTTTGTAACGGGACAAGCAAATTGTTATGTTTATAAGTCTACCTTTTTCTGATGTTGCACAAGTTAGTGGCACCTCTTTGGTGTCCTTTCTTTATTTTACTAGAAAAGGCTAAAGAATCACATCCATGCTCTTGTATATTCCAGGTTATTCACTTTGTCATACGCACCTACTTTACATAGTGTAAAGCAGCCATATGTAATATGTTGCCAAAAATTACATAAACCTGGGAGAAGCTGGAGCATGGCATGAGCAACTAGTGTTCCAGACTCATAGTTCTAAAAATTGTGTCTTTCAGATCAAGGTACAGGTTGACTACTACCGCCATGAGAACTCGGTGACATCCATCATCGGCAGACAGCGTAACGCAATCCCGGCTTGGAATCCATTATCGGCCTTAATTCAGCTTCGTTTGTTATTACCTATGTACTTCAAGTGCTGGTAGTGCAGAATGTGTATGCTGTCAAGTGTAATATTTGTGCTTCAGAATCTGTGTTTTGTACATGTTATGAAGCTGTCAAGTGTTCATGTTATGAAACTGTCAAGTGTTCATCAATTTAGGTGTTGGTAGTGCAGAATATGTAAGCTGTCAAGTGCAATGTCTGTACATGTTATTAAGCTGGTGCTATGTTTTAGCAGTCAAGTGCAGGATCGTACATATATTGAGTTGTACATGTATGGGTGGGGAACTGATATAGAATCATAGGCTAAAACCATAGTTCCTAGAACGGGTTAGTTTGGTTTTGGGGAATTTGTCATGTGGTTTGGTTTGGGCTGGGTGCCAATGCCAATTACGTGGTGTTAGTTTGGTTCAGTTTCCAAAACGTCATCACATGGGTTCAGTTCAGGTTTGGTTTGGTTACCCACCCATTCTCAGATTTACCTACATGGTGGGTGGAGTGCTTTCCTCTAGTGCCGGCAGTGGCAAAATTTCGTGTTTTGACCCTTTTCTAAAACCTATTCGAGATCTGATCCTAGATTGAAAAAATTTCAAAATCTGACCATTTTGCTACCGTCAGAGTCCATGGCGGTAGGGTCTAACAGCCTACCGCCAGGGACTTTGACAGTTGAAAACATCGTTACCACCAAACGGGTTGGCGGTAGCCTGACGGTAGGCACGAGCACGCACTGTGTTCAATACTTATGAGGTTTTTGGCGGTAGGGCATGCAACCCTACCGCCAGGGTCCTTGGCGGTTGGCTGTTATACCCTACCGTCATGGTCCCTAGAGGTAGCAAAATGGTCAAATCTAGAAAAAAATTCAAACTAGGGTCAGATCTCGAATAGGTTTGAAAAAAGGGTCAAAACACGAAATTTAGCCGCCAGCAGTAGTGTGATCAAGATTTTTTTAAGGGCATCATGGCTAGCTTTATTAATCACACGGTAAAGATACATCATCTATGAACTTACAATAACCAGATAATCTCGTGGCTCATTTGTCCAAACACTAGAAAAATTATTTAAAAACTGTAATTAGGCACATGCGCCGCTTTATTAACCGAACAACAACAATGTTTAAATTTGACCCTTCCCATGATTGAACTAATATCAACACACTCACCAAAGATAGCCACAGCTGCATCCCATCATCTTGGTTACCCAGTACAAAAATTAGTGCTGCTGTAGCCCGTAGGTGTGCACTGTCCTGGAGCAAAGCAAGATGCGCGGCAGCAGAACCAACTCCATATGGAGCCACGCATGAAGGGTAGGCAAATGGCTATGCAAAACAAATCGATTTACATACACTAAGCACGTGCTGCACTCAACAGTACGGCTCGGCTTCGCCAAGCGTATGGTGTATATAAATGTTTCAACTTTCATTTCAAGCCACCCCAGGCCCCAGCGACAGCACGTTCATATCTACTTTTTTCGCCTGCCCAGTCCAGAGCCAACGCCCCCGGCGACAAAAACCAAGGTTTCATGGAGGCAGCGCGAATATACAGTCAGCAACATTGACTTACGACAATATCACAATATACAAGACTCCGACTAGTTCTTCTACGAAGAATATGACCATTATTACCTACAGTGAGCAGTCTGACGCCGGTTATCTGCCGGCGGACAGTTCGATGGCGTCCTGGTTGTAGATGGAGTCCTCGCCCCAGTCGAACCGCTGCTGCATCCGCTCGTAGTCCTCCCTCCTCGTCACCTCCACCTGCTGCCACTCCTCCCACCGCTCCGCCAGGCCTTCCCCTTCCAGCATCCTTACCACCTCCGACATGGAGGGCCGGTCCTCAGGCGACCCCTGGGTGCACAGCAGCGCGATCTGCATCATCATCTCCACCTCCTGCCTGTCGAAGCTGTTGTTCAGATTTCGGTCCACGATGGCGTCTAGATTCCCCTCTCTTTGCAGCTTCTTCACCTGCACATTTGTGGCACCAGCATTATGCTTTGGATCACATGCTTCGGCGTTCAGGATTTATCTTAACTAGTGTAGCAGAATGCATGTCTTTTTGTTCAACAAGTGCGAGTCTCTTAAGTTGTTGTCCATAGAGTTCTTCATACACAAAGCTTACTCAGTAGCAGCTTGAATCAATCAAGTTTAGACGGGGTGGGAAGTGGAGTTGACTTACATGATCAAGTAACAACACGTCATCTTCTTCCTCCAGACGTGAAAAGTCAATGGCACGCTGCCCGGTGACCACTTCAAGAAGCATTATACCATAGCCGAAAACATCAGTTCTCTCAGATGACTTCCCTGTGGACAGATATTCTGGTGCAATGTGACCCATAGTCCCTCGGACTTGAGTGGTCACAGATGTCTTCTGTACATCCACCAACTTTGCCAAGCCAAAGTCGCCGACAACTGGTTCGAAACCTTCATCAAGCAAGACATTCGCGGCCTTGACATCACGGTGTATGATCTTAGGATTGCAGTGCTCGTGCAGGTACTCCAGTCCGCGCGCTGTGCCTATAGCCACTCGTTTCCTTGCATTCCAATCTAATATTGGTTCCCCAGGTTTAAATTCTGCACCATTCAACATTTCAACACAAGGAGCACATAAGAGAAAAGTATACAGATGGAAAGAAAACAGAAAAACTAACAAATAGATTTAGTCATTGTAAACTGAAAGGTAATGAATGTCCACAACAAAAACGAAGCAGACTAGAAAAACATTTAAGAAAAATCATGTTCTGGATGTAGAAGCAAATTGCATTTCACTCACTATAATCATTTAATAAACACTGGATGTTGGATTTTACTGACTGGCCCTTTTTCCTTTCTTTCATCACTTACCTGGATGGTATATCTCGGAAGATTATTTGATATTGCATTTTGGTCTATCTGTTCTTTACTCAGGATTTATACTGCCTACCAAGTAACTGTCTAGATCATTTTACGACTTACTAGAAACAAGTCTATGCATGCTGGCATCTTGCATTGGTAAAGCAAAATGAGCATATGAAATATAAAGATTCCAACAGGAAGCTATCTAAATTTTTAGAAGTACATTAGAATTGAAGTTACTAAGCCTAAATGAAGGTCCAAGACCAGTTACAGAATCTTTAAGCACATTGATGAAGGATCTGAGAAACTTCATAGAGTAGCACAACCGTAGGATTGCAGGAGATGAATCAGCTGGTCGATTGGTTAAGAAGAAAGAAAGTACCTCGCAAACGGTAGGCTACGCTAAGATTCTGCATGAAAGGATAAACAAGTAGACGTTCTGTTTGTGTTGTACAGAACCCAATCAATCTTAAAAGATTCCGGTGAACTGCAACACTAATCAGCTCAACTTCACGCAGGAAGGCAGCCTCCCCACCAGGACTTTCATAATCAGTTAACCGCTTTACGGCTATCTTAGTGCCATCTGGAAGTGCTCCTTTATATACTTTTCCAAAGCCCCCTTGTCCAAGAACATTTTTCTCACTGAAGTTATCAGTAGCGAGTTGTAATTCTCGCCATGCAAACCTTTTCAACTGCCCAAATGCAATTCTTCGGTCATCCTCACCTGTGGAAGTTATCAGATCTGTTAGTTAAATGAAAGAAAAATCTCGGCCTCTGCATACGAGGAATGCATTCAGCTACATATGATTGGTCAGTTCAATGCAATGCAACACATGAAAACTTCAAATTTGTAAGCTGGACATTGTGCCTCAAAAACACAGATGGTGCTACAGAGAAGTCGCAAAAGATGCTGGACACTAACTATTTCCATATAGCCAGAAACACTGTTACATGTGGTTCAGTAACAAAAAATCTGTGTATGCATACATAAACCAGTAAACCACATCTTTGTTTCGATAAGCTAATGAACAAGACTACAGGGGAAAAAACTATGAAGACAAACAAAGCGCCATATACACTACCTGATACATCCACAAAAACTTCACGCAGATGACCTTTTCTCCTTCCATTACAGATAATAAATAGAGCCCCTATGATGAGCAGCCCTATCACTCCACCAACTGTTCCAAGGACAATGCCTATTGTCGAACCATGGGATGAACCTATTAAAGAGTGATAAAATTAGCATATGCCTCAAAATCATTTTACAGACGTCAAATCAACACTCTACGTTTTGTGCTATCTGACAAGTGTACAATGCAGAACAGAAAAATATGACCCAGGGAAAAAACAAAAGAAAATATGGCTGGTTACCTTGGTAAGGCGAACTTGATGCACAAGGATGAGCGAAGTTTGCTCCACAAGTCAAGTTATTGCCAGAAAAGCTGTGAAAGAAATGAACCTTTGTTAGACCTTCTAATTAACACACATAGAATTAAATGTTATAATGACTCCCATTACTTGTAACGTGCAACTTGAAATAGTTGAGCAGGTATTGGACCGGAGAGATTATTGTAGGCCAACCGACTGTCATCATAAGAAAGAAATTAGTTGTATATGATAGGAGATTAAGAAAAATAGATATAAGCTCTTGTGGACAGAAATCACGAATATTAATATTACTAGTTTGCTGCTTACATGTCTGTCAAGCTTGAGATGGTTGCCAGTGTATCAGGAACAGTTCCACTTAGTCTGTTTTGACTTAGTATCCTGGTTACAGAACAAAAGGTGAATGGGAATCAGGGAATGTTAAATTACTGATGTTCATGACATTAAGTAGTAACAATTCTGATACATACAAGAGTTGGAGCTTCGAAAGATGGCCAAGAGAAGCTGGGATTTCTCCAACCAGCAGATTTTCTTCCAAATCTAAGCTTGTCAAACTAGATAGGTTCCCAAGCTGCTCTGGTATGGTACCGGTAATCTTGTTACCAGGTAAGGACCTGCAATGTCATGCACCACAAAGATTAACAAAAGTTGGAGAACGTGATCACATGACACAATACGACCATCACTTCATCTAGCAAGCATAGAAATATAGTCAGCATTTCTCACACCTGTTCCTATAGAATCATAAGGTAGAGACATAGAGTGGTCTTTTCAGCAAAATAAAAGAGTAAGATACAGTAGCTATTCTATCACAACAACCACTTAACATCTAAAAGATATTCTATTGCTCTAGACGAGTACACTTACAGAACATTCAAATGCTCGAGGTCTCCAATTCTTGGCGACAGAACTCCAGTGAACCCCATAGAAGCCAATGTTCTGCAGGAGGGTATCGGGTTAACTCATGATAAAACTGAATGTCTTAGTAAGAAATATGAATAACACGGTAAACAGAACCATATGGAGGCTTAGCAAGTGTTACAATGCATTTATAGAAAGTGGAGGTATATATGTGTCTGTCACATACTACCTCTGTACCGAAATAGAGTACTTGTAGTACCAAAATACTGGAGTAGTTTCATAACAAGTATGTTAGAAACCTTTATGTATGTTAGGAACCTGGCCCAACATCTTAACAAAACAAAACTCCATCCCTCCTTTTCAAGCTCGACATCCGGAAGGCTTTTGACTCGGTGCGTTGGGACTATATAGTTGACATTCTTCAGCGGAGGGGCTTCCCTAGCAGATTTCAGGATTGGATTGCCGTCCTCCTTGGAACTTCTTTATCGAGGGTCCTTCTCAATTGGGTGTCGGGCACTTCGATTACGCATGGCCAGGGTCTTAGACAAGGAGATCCGTAATCGCCGCTGCTTCGTCATTACCATCGATCCGCTGCAACAAATTCTCGACTTGGCCATGAGGCTTTGCCTCCTCCTTAAAATCTGGGGACGTGGCACCATCTTCAGGACATCCCTATACCCGGATGACAGCTGTTTTCATGGCACCAATAAAGGAAGATATCCAAAACCTTGCTTGTACTCTACATGGGTTTGGTGAGGTGACGTGGCTGCAATCAAACTTCCACAAGAGCTCGGTTGTGCCTATCTGGTGTGGGTACTTGGACTTGGAGAACATCCTCGAGGGGCTGCCTGCCATACGCACTTCTTTCCAATTGAGATATCTAGGCCTGCCGCTCTCGGTGTGGCAGCGCAGGCGGATAGACTTTCAACACCTCGAGGACAAAATCGCGGTGAAGCTCGTTCCTCGGGAGGGCATGAACATCACTTCGGCTGGTCATGGGGTGCTCGTGAAATCGATCCTCAACTCACAAACGATCGCCACCTTACGCCACTTGTCATCCCCCCACCCATCCTCAAAAGTATTAACAAGGTTGAGAGAGCATTTCTTTGGTCGAGGACCAATAAGGTGACGGGCGGGAAGTGCAAGGTGGGACTCCCCGTGGTTGCATGGCACAAGCCAAAAGACATCGCCCCGCTCATCTTAAAAGTGATTGGCATGAGCCAAAAGACTCCCCGTGGTCTTTCTTGGAACCACGTCCCGAATTCGTCGAGCTTTGGTCTCATCTTGCTCAAGTTCCTTTGAACTAGGATGTTGACAACTCCATCCATTGGAAGTTCTCTTCTAACAGGGAATACTTCGGCGGCGGAGGCATAAAAGGCTTAATTCTTGGGAGTTATCCTCACTCCAATGAACAAGATCATTCGGAAAGTGTAGGCTCCCCCAAAGGTCTTTTTTTTTGCATGGCTTGCTATCCAAAATAGGGTGTGGACGGCCGACCACTTGGAGCGGCGCCGTTGGAAAAATTGCGGCCTTTGCCCTTTGTGCAAGCGTGAGTATGAGTCTGCCGCTCACCTCTTCTTCAAATATCGATTCACATTGAGGTTTTGGCGGATGCTCAAGGATTGGTTAGGACTCGCAGACATCGACCCCTCCCAATAAGCGACTCATCATTCTACCGGAAGTTGGTGGATCAACACAGCTACATGAAGCAAGGCGATGGTATCCCTCATAATGTTCACCAATCGAGCCATCTGGAATGACAGAAATGCTTGAGTATTCCGAAAGAAATCTATGCCGCCACTAATTATTTTGGCAAACTTTAGCAAAGCTTTGGGTTTTCGCGGGGTCGAAGCATTTGAGTAATTTATTGCCGGGAGTAGTGGTTCCTCTTATGTTCCAAACCTTGTCTTCTCTTCTTAATTAGTGGATGAGGCGAATCTTTTGCCTCTGTTTCAAAAGCAGATGCACCTCAAATAATACTTGGACTTGTTTGCACAAATCGTAAGAGCTAACCAGAAATGGATATGGAATGCAAACGAAATAATCCCAGCTTCTAGCTACATGATCTATGGGAAAATATTGGCAGTACACAAAGTAAGCAAAGTGGCGAGAGATCCAGAATGGCAACTTACACTTGCACAACATTATTGTTACTGTCACAAATAACAGAATTCCAAGTGCAAGGGTTAACTTGATTTTGATTCCAGTCTGTAAGCTGTGTGCCAGTAGCGTTCAGCTTCAGCTTCATATCATATAATGCATCACCTAAGGAAACAAATGATATTTCATTGTTGATCATAAGAATATATGTTGCTTAATTAATCTAATCCATGATTGTGAATGTGCTCCAAAAGGATGGAATGACTATACAGATGATAGACATGCAAGCGGACCTTGGCGATCAGACGCTGCAAACGAGAGCAGAAATGTCAAAGTCATAATGATGCCGATCAGCCCCATCTTTCCTTTATTGTCACTGTAGTACCAATTGACTTCCTTATGAGAAGTTGCCCAGCTAGAAAATATGCACAGATTAATAATAGTAGCAGCAATCCATTGGCTACCTGGTTAAACAAAATCAGATCAGTGTGGAGCACACGATAAAAGAAAAACAAAAACATAGGTATTTCAAGTACACTATCGTCAGAGAAGATGGTTGGCTACAACATAAACCAGTACAAATCAATCTTCGCTTGCCTTGAAGACATTAATTCGAGTACTGCACATACAATTTGTAAACATTTGCCCCTAGAAGCATTATCACAAACACCTGATCAAGCAAAATCCTGTCACATATAAACTTGAACATGCACTGGAAAATCATGCATCCAGTACTCATCAAGGAATAATCAAAATTATGCTCTCACAACATCAAATCTACAGCAAGTGCTCATCCAATACAGAAATCAGGACAAAAATTGAACAAACAGACGATGCAAGAGGAAGGGGGCAGGGGGGTGAGGGGAGAGGGAGGAAGGACGAAGGAGTTGTGGCTACCTGCCTACTGACTGGTCGCCGGCGTAGCTCCTGTACTAGCGGCTGGGCGCGCCGCGGCGGCGGGCCGGCGGCGGCTAGGAACCCTAGCTGTCACGCTCGGGAAGGACTCTGGCCGTTCGCCCGGGAAGTGAGGCGCTCTCTTCGTTCGCTCGCTCGCTCGCTCGCTCGGCTAGCAAGCATACACGCACGCACGGGGAGAGGGGCGGCTACCAATCAGCCTGGCCAGCCGCCGCAGCGCACCTGGGGAAGGATTCCTTCCGAAGGAAGCAGTCAGCCTGCGCAACCGCCGCCGCCGCCAGTGCGCGAGTGGAGGTGGATGTGGAGGTGGAGGCGGAGGCGGAGGCGTGGGTGGACGACCCGAGCGGTTGACTCCCCCAGACGCCGAAATGGACCGCGGCTGCGACTGGTGAATCCATTTCAGGCAGGCGGGGCGCAACTTGGTTGGGTTGGTGGGTTCTCCATTTTCGCCCTCCCTTCGATCCCCTTGAGATAAGACGGAATTGGGGTCGCTCGCTCTGCTCGGGCGGCTGGGGCGGCTGGGCTCGGGTTCGCTTCGGATGCCGCCGGGACAGACAGTGGTGCTCCGCGTGCCTTTCCGTGACTCGCCGCAGATTCTCGCAACCGAACGCGAGCGCCTAGCTAGAGATAGCCCCATGCGCTGTCGCTCCGCGAGGTCGCTTTCCGGTTAGCTCACGCCTTTCTGCCCGTGTCCTGTTTTCTGTTCAGTCCGTCCACTGGGCAGCGATGGCGCGGCAGGCTGGACTTGGAGACTTGGACGGACGGGTGATCGGTTTTCTCCCAGTAGTACCATCGATCGTTTTTGCGGGCCAAGGAGGTCAGTGGGAAAGCGGCACGGCTTTCTCGGCCTTGATGGTTGGTTTTGGCTCGATGCACGTTTCGAACTGCTGTCCAGCTAGTTTCCGGTGTCAGCTCTGGCGTCCCGACGGTTCCGTGGTTCACGCTTTTGCGCGGAGCGTGGGCAAATGAGTGCATGACATATAAAAAAGCTAAGGTGATTAGAGTCGTCGGAGGGATTAGTAGAGCAATTACCAAAAGGATAAGCATATCTGGCAAAAATTTCTCTATAAAGGTGGGGCCAAGGCCCGGAATTGTCCCGCTCCACCACTGTGCGCATGTTCCTCGCTTGGCGTGGGGCCACCGCTCGCCTTGGGAGAGACTTGAAGCTAGCCATCCAACCAAACCCACTTACATTTTATTTCAACAAACCGGATGAATTACATGCAATTCAATTATTTTCATCTAAACCGAAACACATTTATTACATTTATGACATATCACTAAAAAAGCAACTGGACCTTACTCTAAACCTACGGTGGCGCCCATCCTCCAAGTTCTTGTTGTTTCCCACCGCCGTTGGTCGTGTCTAGGTCCGGCGAGGATAAGACCCGTGAAGAAAAGGTGCGTTTACAGGTGAGGAAGAGTAGGACATGAGACACAGATCGGCCCATTTGGCACTCGAGGCCCCGCCGCCTCCCATGAAATAATCCTCTCGTTGGAGGTCCCAACCGACGATCAAATCTCGGGCAAGTAACAGACCGATGACAAAGGGAACAACGTATGTTGTTGTGCGGTTTGACCGATGAAGATCTTCGTAGAATATGTAGGAACCAATATGAACATCCAGGTTCCGCTATTGGTTATTGACCGGAGATGAGTCTCGGTCATGTCTACATAGTTCTCGAACCCGTAGGGTCCGCACGCTTAACGTTCGGTGACGATCGGTATTATGAGTTTATGTGTTTTGATGTACCGAAGGTAGTTCGGAGTCCCGGATATGATCACGTACATGACGAGAAGTCTCGAAATGGTCGAGACATGAGGATCGATATATTGGACGGCTATATTCGGACACTGAAAGTGCTCTGGGTGATTTCGGAGAAAACCGGAGTGCCGGAGGGTTATCAGAACCCCCCCCCCCACCCGGGGGGGCTAATGGGCCACATGGGCCTTAGTGAAGAGAGAGAGGGCCGGCCAGGGCAGGCCGCGCGCCCCCTCCCCCTCTAGTCTGAATTGGACTAGGGAAGGGGGGCGGCGCCCCCCTTTCCTTCTCCCTCTCCTCCTTCCTTTCCCCTCCTAGTAGGACTAGGAAAAGGGGAGTCCTACTCCTACTAGGAGGAGGACTCCTCCTCTCCTGGCGCGCCCCAAGGGCCGGCCGGCCTCCCCCCTTGCTCCTTTATATACGGGGCAGGGGCACCCTAGAACACACAAGTTGATCATTGATCTCTTAGCCGTGTGCAGTGCCCCCCTCCATCATAATCCACCTCGTTCATATCGTCATAGTGCTTACGCGAAGCCCTGCGCTGGTAGCTTCATCATCACCGTCATCACACCGTCGTGCTGACGAAGCTCTCCCTCGACACTCAGATCGTGGGACGTCACCGAGCCGAACGTGTGCAGATCGCGGAGGTGCCGTACTTTCGGTACTAGGATCGGTCGGATCGTGAAGACGTACGACTACATCAACCGCGTTATCATCACGCTTCCACTTACGGTCTACGAGGGTACGTGGACAATACTCTTCCCCTCTCGTTGCTATGCATCACCATGATAGATCTTGCATCTGCGTAGGAAAATTATGAAATTACTGTGTTCCCCAATAGTGGCATCCGAGCCAGGTCTATGCATAGATGTTATATGCACGAGTAGAACACAAAGGAGTTGTGGGCGTGGGTATATACATATTTCTTGCCGTCACTAGTTGATTCTTGATTCAGCGGTATTGTTGGATGAAGCGGCCAAGACCGACATTACGCGTACGCTTACGCGAGACTGGTTCTACCGACGTGCTTCGCACACAAGTGGCTGGTGGGTGTCAGTTTCTTCAACTTTAGTTGAATCGGATTCAATGAACAAGGTTCTTTCTGAAGATCAAAAAGCAATCACTATACCGCATTATGGTTTTTGATGCGTAGGTAAGAACGGTTCTTGCTCAGCCCGTAGCAGCCACGTAAAACTTGCAACAATAAAGTAGAGGACGTCTAACTTGTTTTTGCAGGGCATGTTGTGATGTGATATGGTCAAGACATGATGCTAAATTTTATTGTATGAGATGATCATGTTTTGTAACACAGTTATCGGCAACTGGCAGGAGCCATATGGTTGTCGCTTTATTGTATGAAATGCAATCTCCATGTAATTGTTTTACTTTATCACTAAGCGGTAGCGATAGTCGTAGAAGCAATAGTTGGCGAGATGACAACGATGCTTCGATGAAGATCAAGGTGTCAAGCCGGTGACGATGGTGATCATGACGGTGCTTTGGAGATGGAGATCAAAGGCACAAGATGATGATGGCCATATCATATCACTTATATTGATTGCATGTGATGTTTATCCTTTATGCATCTTATTTTGCTTAGTTCGGCGGTAGCATTATAAGATGATCTCTCACTAAATTTCAAGGTATAAGTGTTCTCCCTGAGTATGCACCTTTGCTACAGTTCGTCGTGCCGAGACATCACGTGATGATCGGGTGTGATAAGCTCTACATTCACATACAATGGCGCAAGCCAGTTTTGCACACGTAGAATACTCGGGTTAAACTTGACGAGCCTAGCATATGCAGATATGGCCTCGGAACACTGAGACCGAAAGGTCGAGCGTGAATCATATAGTAGATATGATTAACATAGTGATGTTCACCATTGAAAACTACTCCATCTCACGTGATGATCGGACATGATTTAGTTGATTTGGATCACGTGATCATTTAGATGACTAGAGGGATGTCTATCTAAGTGGGGGTACTTAAGTAATTTGATTAATTGAACTTTAATTTATCATGAACTTAGTACCTGATAGTATTTTGCATGTCTATGTTGTTGTAGATAGATGGCCCGTGTTGTTGTTCCATTGAATTTTAATGTGTTCCTAGAGAAAGCTAAGTTGAAAGATGATGGTAGCAACTACACGGACTGGGTCCGTAACTTGAGGATTATCCTCATTGCTGCACAGAAGCATTACGTCCTGGAAGCACCGCTAGGTAACAAACCCGCTGCAGGAGCAACGCCAGATGATGTGAACACCTGGTAGAGCAAAGCTGATGACTGCTCGATAGTTCAGTGTGCCATGTTTTACGGCTTAGAACCGGGACTTCAATGACGTTTTGAACGTCATGGAGAATATGAGATGTTCCAGGAGTTGAAGTTAATATTTCAAGCAAATGCCCGGATTGACAGATATGAAGTCTCCAATAAGTTCTACAGCTGCAAAATGGAGGAGAATAGTTCTGCCAGTGAAAATATACTCAGAATGTCTGGGTACCATAACCACTTGACTCAGCTGGGAGTTAATCTTCCTGATGATAGTGTCATTGACAGAGTTCTTCAATCACTGCCACCAAGCTACAAGAGCTTCGTGATGAACTATAATATGCAAGGGATAGATAAGACGATTCCTGAGCTCTTCGCAATGCTAAAGGCTGCGGAGGTAGAAATCAAGAAGGAGCATCAAGTGTTGATGGTCAACACAAGACCATAAGTTTCAAGAAAAAGGGTAAAGGGAAGAAGGGGAACTTCAAGAAGAACAGCAAGCCAGTTGCTGCTCAAGTGAAGAAACCCAAGTATGGACCTTAGCCTGAGACTGAGTGCTTCTACTGCAAAGGGACTGGTCACTGGAAGCGGAACTGCCCCAAGTATTTGGCGGAGAAGAAGGATGGCAAAGTGAAAGGTATATTTGATATACATGTTATTGATGTGTACCTTACTAATGCTCGTAGTAGCGCCTGGGTATTTGATACTGCCTCTATTGCTAATATTAGCAACTCAAAACAGGGGCTACGGATTAAGCGAAGATTGGCTAAGGACGATGTGATCGTCGTCGGCACGCTACCTCTACATCTACCTTCGGGATTAGTTTTAGACCTAAATAATTGTTGTTTGCTGCCAACGTTGAGCATGAACATTATATCTGGATCTTGTTTGATGCGAGACGGTTATTCATATAAATCAGAGAATAATGGTTGTTCTATTTATATGAGTAATATCTTTTATGGTCATGAACCCTTGATGAGTGGTCTATAGCTGCCAAGAAAGATTATGTCCTAGAAGCACCGCTAGGTGACGCACCTGTCCCAGAGAATCAAGACGTTATGAACGCTTGGCAGTCACGTGCTGATGATTACTCCCTCGTTCAGTGCGGCATGCTTTACAGCTTAGAACCGAGGCTCCAAAAGCGTTTTGAGAGACACGGAGCATATGAGATGTTCAAAGAGCTGAAAATGGTTTTCCAATCTCATGCCCGGGTCGAGAGATATGAAGTCTCCGACAAGTTCTTCAGCTTTAAGATGGAGGAAAATAGTTCTGTCAGTGAACACATACTCAAAATGTCTGGGTTGCATAACCGCTTGACTCAGCTGGGAGTTAATCTCCCGGATGACGCGGTCATTGACAGAATCCTTCAGTCGCTTCCACTGAGCTACAAGAGCTTTGTGATGAACTTGAATATGCAGGGGGTGGAAAAAACCATTCCTGAGGTATATTCAATGCTGAAATCAGCAGAGGTGGAAATCAAAAAGGAACATCAAGTGTTGATGGTGAATAAAACCACTAAGTTCAAGAAAGGCAAGGGTGAGAAGAACTTCAAGAAGGACGGCAAGGGAGTCGCCGTGTCCGGCAAGCAAGCTACCGGGAAGAAGCCAAAGAATGGACCCAAGCCCGAGACTGAGTGTTTTTATTGCAAGGGAAGTGGTCACTGGAAGCGAAACTGCCCCAAATACTTAGCGGACAAGAAGGCCGGCAACACTAAAGGTATATGTGATATACATGTAATTGATGTGTACCTTACCAGTACTCGTAGTAGCTCCTGGGTATTTGATACCGCTGCGGTTGCTCAAATTTGTAACTCAAAGCAGGAGCTGCGGAATAAGCGGAGACTGGCGAAGGACGAGGTGACGATGCGCGTCGGGAATGGTTCCAAGGTCGATGTGATCGCCGTCGGCACGCTGCCTCTACATTTACCTACGGGATTAGTTTTAAACCTCAATAATTGTTATTTACTGCCAGCTTTGAGCATGAACATTGTATTAGGATCTCGTTTAATTCGAGATAGCTACTCATTTAAATCCGAGAATAATGGTTGTTCTATTTATATGAGAGATATGTTTTATGGTCATGCTCCGATGGTGAATGGTTTATTCTTAATGAATCTCGAGCGTAATGCTACACATATTCATAGTGTGAATACCAAAAGATGTAAGGTTGATAATGATAGTCCCACATACTTGTGGCACTGCCGCCTTGGTCACATAGGTGTCAAACGCATGAAGAAGCTCCATGCAGATGGACTTTTAGAGTCTCTTGATTACGAATCATTTGACACATGCGAACCATGCCTCATGGGTAAAATGACCAAGACTCCGTTCTCAGGAACAATGGAGCGAGCAACCAACTTATTGGAAATCATACATACTGATGTATGCGGTCCAATGAGTGTTGAGGCTCGCGGTGGCTATCGTTATGTTCTCACCCTCACTGATGACTTGAGTAGATATGGGTATGTCTACTTAATGAAACACAAGTCTGAGACCTTTGAAAAGTTCAAGGAATTTCAGAGTGAGGTTGAGAATCAACGTGACAAGAAAATCAAGTTCTTGCGATCAGATCGTGGGGGAGAATACTTGAGTCACGAATTTGGCACACACTTAAGAAAATGTGGAATACTTCCAC